CTCTGTGGACCAAATGTCTTCCAAGATTTCTTGGAATTCCTGGAAGGTTTTTTGGTTTAGTTCTTTTTAAATCTCAACAGGAAAGCCCCCCCCCCCCCGTCCTGTTGCTTTATTTGAGTTCATCTTTGAGATCACTTTCTTGATCTCATCAGTAGAGGAAGGCAGGTCTAGGGCATTCAAGGTTGACAGCTGAGGAATCTGCTGTAAGACATCATGATCAACAGTGGATGGCCTATTGAGTAGGTGGAAAAGTGTTCAACCCAGTGGTTTTTCAGTCCTTCCTGGTCTTTGATCAGGCTCAACCCATCAGATGACAGTAGCGGGGAGCTTCCTGATTTAGAAGGACCATAAACTGATTTTATGGCACTGAAGAACTCTGGTGGCATGCATGACTGCATAGTGTTCCACCTGCTCAGTCTCTCTGCCACCACTCATCCTGCATTTCTTGCAGTTCCATCTGTACTTTGGATTGCAGGGGCTTAAACTTGTCTTTCTTTGAGACAGATGATGGATCATTCTGCCAATCTGCATAGGCTTTGTTCTTGGCCTGGAGGGCTGCTTAAATGGTTTTGTGGTTTTCATCATACCAGTCTTGATGGACCCGGGTTTTCAGTTCAAGTACACTTGTTACAGTTTGTATGATGACATCTTTAAACTGTGTCCACTTTTCAGAACAGTTTCCTATAAGCGGTATATTGCTGGAGAGGTTTTCATTAAGTACATCTTGGAAATGTTGGACTTGGCCTGGGTCTTGCAGTCTGCTGATGTTGAATGATTTTCTGACAGTCCTTGGTTGCTTACAATGTAAAGGGGCTAATGTGCAGGTTGAGGACTGACCGGACCAGCTTGTGATCTGTTCAGCACTCAGCACTTCACATGGCTCCGGTGATGGTGACATTTTTAAGGTTACGCTGACATACTATGACATAGTCAAGTAGGGGCCAGTGGTTGAACCTGGGATGCATCCAGGTAATTTTGTACTTGTTTGCAAGTCTGAACATCATGTTAGTGATGCACGGGTTGTGCTCAGCACATTTTCTCAGAAGCAGCAAGCCATTGCTATTTATTTTTCCCACCCCATGTCTCCCAAGTACTCTCTCCCAGTTGTTGCTGTCTGTCCCCAGCTAGCACTGAAGTCACCCAGAATGAAGAGTCTCTTGTGGGGGGGTTGTTTGAATAATCTGGTCCAGGTCCTTGTAGAAATCTTCATTGTCTTTGTCTAAACTCATGAGAGTTGGCGCGTAGGCACTGACAATGGTGATATACTGGGATCTGCTGAGAGGAAAGCAGAACTTCATAATGTGTTCATTTATTCCAGTGGGTAGAGTAGAGATGTTCTTCAGCAGAGCAG